CACTTCACCCTCCTCCATACAGCTTTGACAACTGCCCATCGGTAGTTTTTTCTAACCGCACCGCATGATCCCATTGGACATGCCCACGTGAAAACTCCTACCATGGCGCGAGGTGAACTTTGTTCAAGGCGAGAAGATCCCCCGACCTCCTGCGCTCCACTCTCGCCAGAAGGACGCGCATCGCGCAGAAGCTGGTTCGCCGCACCAGCGTCTCTGAGCTCCTGCGAGGTCCATTGGTCCAGAGCGAGATGCAAGACGTTAGTGGAGAAACCAACTCGATCCCATTCCGATGATGACGGGCAAGGGTACCCCCCCTGCCAGCTCATCGGCCTTGCACATACCTCAGCATCTCCGCTTGTGACCCAGGCACCCCAAACCGAGCCTATATTGAAGTAGCCTGATGCTAATTCTTAGCGAGGGACAGAACAACTCATGAACTAGGCTGAATGCACGGTTCGCGCACTCAGGGCTTTATTGCCGCTTTCGCTTTGGATGGATGCTCACCTCTCTAAAACGAAGCTACACTACGTAACAGTACTTCTACCGCCCACCTTGATCGCGGCCACTTCCGCCTGAAAAACGCTACAGTGGTCCGGTAGCCTGAAGCAAGATTGACGGAGAGCTCTTTACAGAAAACCCCCCCTCCATACTTTCCCTCCTAGCCTCGACCCATCCGTGAAAAAAGCTCACGCGCCTCTTTCCAGCGCTTCTTCCCCTCCACATCTCCCCTCGTCGGAATTATGAGCAGAGAAAAAGCCGCTCGAGAGGCCTCCGTGACGCAGTATCAAATTTGTCAGGAATGCAGGTGAAGGAGGAGAGAATGCGGCATGTCCTTGTTGACCTCTTCACAAGCCAGCTTCTTCTAGCCTAATAGCACACATCGCAGCAATGCACCTACGGCAATGTCCACGGGTTGCTAATCTAATATAGCGTTGAGATCTATCGTTGTGTGGTTGCCAGCTGCACCGAGATTCCGATGAGCTCCCGCTCCTTTAACTCGCCTCAAGCTTTAGCAAGGTTCTTTTGAGCGCTTCCACCAGACGAACACACCGATAGAAACAGTATTGGGCTTGACGTTTCGTAAGAGCCAGAACACCCCACTTTGGTGAGAGTCCCACCTTTTCCCTATAGCTTCCCCTGCAGCAGTATAAGCACCGATGCCTTCTTGGACTCTCTCCCGATGTTCGGCCTCCAAGAAAAGTTCTATCCAGGATGAGCCCTATATTCACCTTATCAAACAGCGTTGAAGACTAACCCCCGAAGGAGGGAGAGGCACATTTGGGGATCTTATACCCTTTCTTATGAATAAGAACCATTTCGTTTACTTGGTTGGCGCCTAGGCCGTTCTATTTGCCCAGTTGATACCACGTTTACGTACCCTTCAGGTGAGCTCATAACGGGTATTCAGTGAAATTTACCTTACCATAAGTATCCACATCATCAGCATAGGCTATCACTCGGACAGCCTTGCTCCTCGAGTTCTATAAGTATCGTTTACAACCAAGATCCAGAGCAGAGGGGAGAGCTTCCCTATTTACCTTTCTGGTTGACTTAGCACTACCCCACTCCGCTATGACAGTTCTTCGCAGAAGACTGAAAATGAGGTGTTGAGGTTCGATTCACTTCAAACTTTTCGAGGCTCTATACTCACTGCCTCTGGCCGAACGTTAGTGAAGGCCCCCCCCCCCCCCCCCCCCTCGATGTCTGAGAAAGGTGCCACTGCAATTCCTTTTGCAAAAGCGCTGTCTCCTGTCATGACATACATCATGCAGACGTGTCGACGACCTGCCCTTGATGTAGGCATTTACTGCGCTCGCTAAACAGTTTACCCCTCGGTATTCTGTACCTGATGTTACAATCCATAAGTCTCTCTCCCAGCGTTTTTAAAAAAAAACCGAGATAGCTGATGGTTTGAAATCTTTTGCCACCGACATGAGAGCTTTTACCGCCTTCGGATGAAGGCAACTTAACCTCGTCTCAGGCCTTCGGGACATGGCCCAATCTAACACAGCTTCGCGTAGATAGGGCCAGGCCAGCCTGCCTGACACCTTAACCGTTTTCTGTAGTTGCGCCGGTATTGATGCCATCAGGACCCGGCTTAGGCTTAAAGATTTCAGCCGCCCAGGTAAGATGCGCTCATTCAAAGGTCCAAGAAGCTGTACAGCCTTGCCTGAGCTCCCCCCAAGTGGCCCTTCTTCAGCAAAGCGATTCTGTGGAAATTGAGCAGTCTAGGATAGTACCTAAGCGACTCCCACGCTACTCGTCAGTCCACCCCTATCGCATTTCTTAATACCCCACCGGAGTTAGGATTTTTCGCAGAAGCGTCTAAACCTTTGAGGACTCTGACAACCCTCTACAACTGTCGCAAGAAGCTTCCAACAACCCTCTTGGCTTTTTGCGAGTCGGATCGACTTGTAAATGCCAATCCGGCCAATTGTACAACCCCAGTCGTCGCTAGATCCACTTTTACGGGCTTCATTGAGATCGTCTACTCGAAGATCTGATCTCCGTTAGCCAGAAGTTCACCAGGTTTCCCTCTACTTTTAAACTGAGTATATTTACAGAGACAGGAGCTTCCAAGAGCAGATGCTACAGAGCCTAAACCTCGACGAGATCCTCAATAGCTCCGCAGATAGATCGAATCCCTTCAGGCTCGGTTGGAGAGGTGATCGAAGCTTCCTGCAATACAGACCCAATTGGAATATATCCTGAGTTTCTGTACTTCTATGCTTCGGGCCGAGGCGTCCAGCTAAACCCAATATATTATGACCAGAAAAAGGAGTGGTCGTCTAAACTCTCCCATTCGAGATCAAGGACAATTTCCCTAGAGGCTAGCGTGACATCAAAGACTTTCCCTCTTAGCTGCACAAAAGTGGCAGTTTCCCCTAATTACAAGATAAAAAGGTCTACATCACAAATAAAATCAAAAAGTGACCAACCTCTTGCGTTTGTTCCGAGCTCCCCAACGTGTGCCTTGATTGGCAGTCCGAGCCTATAATAAACCGCGCTCCTTTGCGTCTGGCTCTGCCAGAGCCATTCCTCAGCAAAGTTTCGGAGTGGTTTCCACCTCGTCGTCTGCGGCATGCTAGCTGAGACAAGCCAGATTTCCCGAGCACTGCTCCTCCAGCCTAGCGTACACGTCCTCGTTGCTGAAAATAGTAAAGAAAAACGTTAAGTTCATTTCGACCAACAGGCAGGCTCTGCGTTTACCTTGTGTGCTCCGCCAGAGCTTATGGCTTATTTGTCCTAAGTCCAGATATCCCATAGTACTCAGCCATGGTTCCTGGATAAGACAACGTCGCTTCTCCCTTCCTAGACGAAGCACTAAATCGGCGGAGGCCGCCTTTAGTGCTGACTTTGTTAATTTGGAGGATCTTCATCCTCCAAACTCCTCTCCAGCAGTGCGAGTTCCGCACCCATCGCTCCATATCGTGACGCCAGCCCCTCGAACAGATGCTCGAGACTGAAGACCGGATCCCCATCACTTGGCGATCCGCCCCCCGTGCTCACCGCGTCGAGAGACAGCGACGTCATTTTCGGAGGAACCTTCCCACTCTCTTTCCATCCCCAGAGCAGCGGGCCATCCCCCTGGCTTCTGTTGGAGCGTCTTGTGAACGACTCTCTCGGAGCCATAGCTTTGCCCCTTTGTGACACTGAGAGGAGCGAGGGACTCCTTGTTCAGGAGTATCAGCGCTTGCCGATTATGGTGCCTCGGTCCTCTCCAGCCTGAATCTACGCCTCCGTTTGCGGTGGGGAGAGATGGTGCAGTACCGCAACATCTCTTCAAATTTCGCCGGGTGTGAAGGTTCGCCGGAAGCCAGCCCCGACCCGAGCCCGTCGGGAATCCGATTTGCCACCGCCTCGACCTTGCTCCTTTCCACACCTCCCCTACCCTGCTACCACCCTCCTTATAAAGGAGAAGCCGACCGCTCGTTCAGCACAACCTACATGAGTTTTGAATGCCGATTCCACCCAGCGCTTCACATCTAGGGGTGTCCAGGGCTTCCCTGACCACCTTCATGAAAAACAGCGAGATAGCAGCCGCTACCCGCTTCCACGCCGTCATGGAGATGGCTCCATCTCCTCTGCTTCGGTCTACACCCCAAGCTCCACGTGAGCTTGCGAGTTTAGCGATTTCGCTAAACATAGGTGCGGGTCCGACCAAGGCTTTACTTTATTAGGTTAAGGCCCGCTCGGCCCCACTTACCGTTTCACCCACGTCGCTCAGCACCTTTTCCCCACTTCAGTGTGCTAGCACGCTAGTCAATTTCTGGTCAGCCTGCTTGTCACCGTACGCCTGCAAATCTTTGCAGCCAGTCGACGATCCAGACTTCACCTTTTTAGCTGCAGTCACTCGCTTCCCGCCGGGCCCTTAGCGCTCGCCAAGGACCCCGTGACCCCCATGAACTTAGCAGAGGTTCCTTCTGCTAGTTGCTGCGATTCCGCCTCGCACTTCCGCCCTACCCGGGTTGCGTCGGCAGACTCCTGCCGAACACTCCCCTACCTTACCGCCCCCGACGTAAGCCAGGCACCCCCCTGGATTACCTTTCTCACCTATTAGCCGGGGAAGTGTCCCCACACAGGAACCTCCACTACAAGCGAGGTCGGTTTCACCCGCTCCTCCCTCGTAAACTTATGTATGTTTGTATTTGTCTCATTTTGTTTTGTTGGGTCCCCACTCAGAGCGCTATCCGCTCCGGAAGTAGTCGCCTTTTATGGCCCAAGTTTCTCAGTTACGAGCCAGCGAGGGTTGACGCACGCCTTATGGGGCAATGCTTCAGAGCCACCAGCGCAAAGAGGAGTCATTCAACAACACACTACCCCAACTTAATGATGAGGGAGAAACTACTCGAAGGCCTTCCATGTTTTAACGGATCGGAGCTACCTTGCATAGCCCATCAGCCATTTAGCAGCGTATCACCCCTGCATACTCAGTGACAGAAACACAAGACCCCAGCCCGTGTTCAACCGAATCCATCTAATTGTTCAAGCTATTCCAGGTCAAGCAAACGGTCATCAAGTTTCAGGCCGTAAAGACCGCAGTCATTTGGCTGTACCCAGATGCACCACGCGAGGTCGAACCTGCTCTAACATTCCCGCTGGACGTATCGGAGAATACTTCTACGTAGACGCAGCAGCGGTGAATCGGGGTAAGCCTACGCAGCGTTGCAGAAAATCCACGTCGTCGCGTACCACCCACGACGTCATTCACACAGCGGTGGAATCGCTGTCCGTCATCATCAAAGACACGGAAACGTAATCCATCCCGGCACGCTAGCACACCCATGAGCGCGGACAGGGTAGTATACCGATTAATCTCTCTCT